CGTTATATGCACAGACGCTCTCCATTAGACATCGCCAAAAACAGGCGATAATGCAGGACACCAAATTATCATTTCGTACCGTGTTAAGCGGGAATGACCCCTGTCGGTACGGAAAAAGAAATGGAAAGACAAAAAAACAAAAACAAAAAAACAACATATTTCTGACACTCATTAATACCTCTCAAAAGGTGTTCAAGGATGGCCGAACTGGTCATCCCATTGAAGAGGCGATTGGTAGCTATAGACAACAAAAATGACAAAAAACTGAAAAGTAAGGAGATATAAGCCTTATGCGAAAACCGCTAATTATAACTTCTCGGAAGTAGGGATCATGATTGGGATAGAGAAGGAATCTATTCAAAGAATTAATTATGCGATCTTCCTGTTACCCTAGAATGTGTGAGATGGGTACCTTGGTTACAAACTGAAAATTAAATGTTCTGTCTAATTTCTGCTTCAAACTAAATTTTAAGTTTCTTATAATCGGCTACAGGAGTAGATGAAAAGATGAAAATATGTGGGGATGGTATACCAAATGGAAAATTTAAAATTATTACACATTTGACATTTATGTACATATTTTCAGAATTTCATGATAAGCACCTTTTTTTCATTAATATATTAGATTTTCATCTTTTTCGTTTTAAGATCTAAAAATACGTTGTACTTCACAGGCCTTATTTTCTTTCTACAATTTCTATAGCATGTATAACCCCTATAAATCATTCAACTTCAACTTGAAAACTATCATTAAAACATACGTCTTCAGAAAATAGCTAAATAACTTCATTTTGTTTTTCTTGATATAAAGTTCAGTGTAGTAAGAGTCTGTATTACTACATTTTTATTTTTATGAAGTATGTTATTATTGTAAATGCGGTATGAACAGTAGATGTAAGTTGTGCAATGTGCATGAGTATGTACGACAATTACAGCATTTTGTAAAGTTGAAGATCAAACCTTTTTAGACATGGAATCAAAGCTACTAATGCAGTATCATTGAAAAGGTTTACAATAATTCTATCATCGACAATTAAGTAATTTCAGTAAAGAACCACTATCAATGACGTCACTCTGGTAGGGATCTACCTTAAAAATCGAAAAGTTGGTAGAACTTGTAATTTTTTATTCATATGCTATAGCTGCAAATGACACAACGATATTTTTTTTCATTGTGTTGTCCATCACCATGCCGTGCAGCATACTAGGCAGAAACCATCAACATCATCATGTGACAAAAATCCAGGGTGTCAGCACGTTGAAAGTTTATCCTTTCAGTCTTCTAGAGATATGTTTATAGATATGTCTACATCTTCATTTTGATGAATTTATCACTGATTTTCATTCAATGAATCAATTTCATTGACAAACGCACTGTAAGTACGCGCCAGTTGAATTTTTCTTTCAATCTTACAAACTGCGTATTTTTTGCTAATTCCAATGGTTAACAATTGCGTCCCTTTATTAGAAGACATATTTTTATATTCATATAAAGCAGAATTTATTCAAAAACCTCTACATGAGAAGAAGACACTTGCTGTGGTCTTCAACTCGACATTTAAATATATCGACGACGTTTTATCAATTAACAATAGTTACTTCCATTCATATCTTGACTCGATATATCCCAGTGAATTTGAAATAAAAGATACTAAAGAGACTGACACATCTGTTTTATATCTGGGTAATTTACTAGAAAAAAGACGTTAATGGTAACCCAACAACAAAAATTTATGATACACGTGATTTCAACTTTTCTACCTCAACTTCCCTTTTTTATATAGCAATTTAATATACCCTTATCACCTGCATATATATGGAGTGTATGTCTCCCAGTTGATTCGATATGGAAGGGCATGCTCTACGTACGAACAATTTCTAAAACGATGCAAGCTATTTACAAACAAGGTGATGAAACAAAGATATCAACAGTTTCATTTGAAGTCAACATTTCGCAAGTTCTATGGTCGATACAATGACCTTGTCAGCAAATGCAATATATCATTAAGTTGAATGCTGACTGCCGTTTTTCATGCTAATTGTTAGGCCATTACTTATACAATGAATTATCTACTAATTTTTCCGTTTGCCCGATCATGACAAGGAGCACACGGTTGATGTGATAGGTCGACAGGAAATGCTTACTCCTCAATGGCACCAGATGCCACCTCTGATTCTTTTAGAGGTCTGTGTTTGCTCTGCTTCCGATTTGTATTGTTTCAATGGACTTTTGAGCTTGTTAAATGTCTCCATATTGCACTCTTATTGCTGTTTTACTATCTGAAATGAAAAATGTTCAGATCAAAAATCTTGTGCTTTACTTGTGAAATTACTTATTTAAAAATGTTTAATTTTGTTTGATGCCTTGCATTAATTTTATTTGTTGTCTTTTTGTACATATTGTCACTTTCGACAATATGCACCGATCCTCATTGTTACCGGCTGAAAAAGTATGAATGTACACGTCGCTGGCGACGACATTATGTGCCTAGCCTCACGGCATACATTTTTGCCCCACATTTAGGGTTGCTTGAGAATTTTTTTGTAGTCTTCTGTATGTACTTGGTGTGTAAATGATATAGATTTGTATCGTACGTAGGCTATTTCAAGCAGCGCGATTGAGACAGTACATATCGTCGTCCGGTTAACATTTTCACCGGCGACAATGTATACCTACACTAACTGCAAATATTGTCGTCCATCGGTACATATTGTCGCAGGTTTCAAAATAATACATGTACATATCTTTGCTGGCGACAATATGTGCTTACCCTTACAGCACATATTGTCGCCCAACCGTTAGAGTTACAGTTATATGGATGGTGATGATCTGGTTGACAATTATGATGATGATATCGAAAAGTATACATTCAATTTTCATGAAGTCATTTGTCATTTTTACAACTCCAATGAAGCAGATCCAATGACTGCTATATTTAATATACATGAGTACAAGTAATACTTTGATGAGGAGAATAGTGCAAATAACATGATCAATATAAATTCATAAAAAGACCAGGAAATTCTAGAGCTTTCGCTTTTTATCTCTATATCTCTCTCCCTCTCTGTCGCCTTCTCTCTTTCTTTCTTTCTCAATCTTCAACCAACACCAGTGTTTGGTAAAAAAAAAGAACTTTCATCACTTTCTGCTCACTGACATCCAGTACAGTAAATAAAAGTTTTAACTAATTTCGCAATAAGACTTAAGAAGGACTTAAGAATAAATATAAATTCTATAGAAGCAGATTTAATGAGAAGACTTTTAAAAATTATCGTACCCCAACCCCAATGATATAGGTACATGTATAAGAATCATATAGAAATGTAATCCTGATAATTATTACTACTGAACAGAAAAATTAACATTTAATACCTAAAAATATACATGTATAACGAGAGAAAAAAAGAAAGTGCTGATTTATGATCAAATAAATCTAGAATTCCGGTATCTCGGCATATCAAACTAGTGTATGACACAATTTTCTGACCAGATAGTGTTCTTTCTATATTATTGCTTGTTTACTTATCTATCTATCAATTAGACTATGTTTCTGTCTCTCTCTCTCTTTCTATGTGTGTATCGGTCTCTCTCTCTCTCTCTCTCTCTCCAAGATTCCAGAAAATAATTTTCAAAACAATATTTTTGCGACAAAATGTGCAGATTCCCACAGTGCATATTGTCAGCAACGACAACATGTGCCGATGTGTGACTGTACATTTTGTCGTCCGTTCTACAGGACGAAAAAAAGGCTCCTCTTGGTACATATTGTCGCTGGTGACAATATACCGATGTTCCGATTGACGATAATATGTGCATGGAGGGAAAGTACATATAATATTTACAGAGCGACAATATGTACCGTCACATCGGGTCAATGCTGATATGTATAGATAACCGTCATCTGACAAAAGAGCTTTGTCACACAAAAATTATTATTATTATGAGAGAGAGAGAGAGAGAGAGAGAGAGAGAGAGATTCGTATGGAATTAAGTTTTGTTAATTTCACTTCTAGAACACTTTTTTGAACATGATTAATGCTCATGCATAGTTTTTCCATTACATTTCTTCATGTGTGCTCTTTTGAAGCAGCATCAATGAAAGTCTTTGCATTGTATGAAAAAAAGATTCCAGTTTGAATCATCATTCAGAGATGAAAGAGTCTGTGCGAAACCTTGCTTGTTGTTACAGTTTTATAATAATAGTATGAAGTTGCAAGTTAAAAAATTAAGAATAACCACACACAGGTTTTTTTTTTTCTGACCGCAGCAGTTAAGAATATGTTGCATCAGAAAAAAAGGGTATCGTTTCCTTTCACTCTGTTATTTGTTATGATATTTCATTTTTTATACACTTTCAGTTTAAGATCATAGAATTATGAAGTTCCTTTCATATTTTTCAAGTATTTTATGATATAAACAAGCAAAATTTAGCCCAATCAATAGTTATTTAATGTTTCCTTAACTGGGATACCGTATAAAGAATTCTTAAACAGTATAATTTGCATTATATCTAATGAACTTTTCTCCTTAATTGTCAATGATTACAAATTCAGTTTTGTTAGCAAGGAAGTAGAAAAACCACATCATGTCGACATAAAAAAACAGAAATGTTCGAAAGAACGTGTCATGACTGAATTTTTTGACAGTTTCTCAATTCGTGTACAATGATTAGATATTAATTACAGCGGTACCAAGAACGAAAAGTCGAGAAAACATAGTAAGAAGAACAGAGAATGCAGAGAAACAAATAAAATAAATTTTATAAGTGGAAAAAAGTGAAAGGTGAATAATAATGATCATTTAAGAATCATGCGTCCTACTATAAATCATTTTTAAGTGCCTACAGATATTAATAATTAGTATCCGTAATCATGAGTCACAGCATATTTCATTCATTCATATATTAACTTCTCCTTCTGAAATTTGACTCTGTCAATCTTTTAGTAATAGTGTAAATGTTTTATTTAAGGATATAGTGATTCTATAGATAAAAGAAAAATATATAAAGTATCTTTATTAACTTGGCAATATTTTCAACAAATGTTTCAATTTTGAAAAGTAAAAAAAAAATAATAATAATGTCATATTAATGGATTTCACAGTAAAACACCAAAAGCTTTGGCTCCTCTACGTTGATTTCTTGCAATAGCAGTCCATGAAAAGCCAGTTCACAAATGGAATAGTACTAAAAGAACATTGTCCGTAAGACATACATACTTATAATCTATTATCACTGTATACCACAAGTAAGGTCGGTGATATCGTGGGATTAAAATCTTGGATTTCCTACAGAGTTAAGAATTCAATTCTTTTGCATGTGCGAAAGAGGATATCAAAGCATGTGCTCCATAAGGTCCATAAAGCTCCTGTAATCAAAATATTGAATGAAATTAATCTTAAAATGTAAACAAAATCTTTGGTTTCCCTGATACATCTACGAAAAATTGACAATTTTGTTTTTAACAAATTCCATTATGCACCAAATATCTTATTTTAGAACCGTTGAAATCTGCACTTTTACTAAAGCTATAGAATAAATCATAACAATATTTTAAATCATAGGCTATTAATGTATAGAAACGGAAAAAAAAATTTTCTACAAACCTGAAAGATGGATGACAAGCTCTCATCAAACAATTTCGAAATGGGGACTTCCACTACTATTTTTCAAAGAGTGTATAAGCAATCCGTTTATTATACGACCTAGATAATACTAGGAAAAAAAGACATCACAGAAATTATTATCATTATCATCAACAGCGTATTTCAAGTACAAGAAAACAAAAATCTAAATAATGAAGGAAAAATGAAAATTGATGTACATTTACCTTAAGCTACTGTGGCTCTCAACCTCCACCAAGATTTCACACGCCTTAAAGGTGAGTTGGGCACCACGTCTGGTAATTTTCTTTTTTCTGGGGGAATTGAAAGAGCTTTGGTGAGCTGGCGTTTCTGCAGACTTGAATTATCCTTGAAGGAGGCGAAAATTCTATCCCATATAAATACACGCAGGTCTTTCTTGTAATAATCACAAGGAGTGGTGAATCTGATCATATCTGGAACTTCTGTGGCATCAAGTCGAATAGGTATGATTTTCCTCGCTCTGGCACCTAATGATTGTGATTTTAAAAATTAAGATGTTTCACTGCATATTCTAAAATACCAATAATTCCATATATATTGATGAAGTTGTAAAAAAAAAATGTGCTTACTTGGCGACATTGCATGGGCAATTCTCAGTTGGAAATGGAATAAATCACTTTCAACAGAAGCTGTTGAGATAACCACCAACACTTTCTTGCATCTGTGATGAAAATAAAATACATTTTATGAAATATGTACTTGGGTTGAAATATTGATATTTCTTTTCTCTTGCACGTGATATAGAACATAGTACATGTACGTTTAGTGTATTTCCAGTTAAATACCTTTTCTCTATATTTTCAGCAGTAGCCACAGCTTCAAAGGTATCATCAACATTATCTGTCCATGGTACATAGAGTCTGAGGTTATAGGGAGGCGAAGAGAGAACGCGAGTCATTAGATTGACAAACCCCTGGTCCTCTCCGTGTGGATTGTATATCACAAAGGCATCGTATTCAAAAGTTTCCATTTCTGGAGGAGAAAAAATCTTAAAAATTAAATCAATGCACTACTTTTAACAAAAACTTGGAAATTATTTTTTACGAAAACAAAGTAAAAGATAATACTATTTCTATGAGGCACCATACCTTTAAATACGTATTCCAATATATAGCACGGCTATTAAATCCAATATAACTGAACACTTCAAGCTCTGAATGATTATGACTGATGTTAAGTGTTTAATCCATATATATACTCTGTTGCGTAAGGTCGAACGTCAAAGAAAAGGTAGCTATAGGCAGACCAATAATGTTAAAGTTGATAGCTGTCCAATAAAACACAGCTTTGTTAGAATATTTTATTGATATTGTGGTTTTGTGGTTTCTGTTCGTTCGTAAAGTATATGTCTTATGAATATAAAAACGATATAATGTGTATTCATTAAATTATGTTTGTACAAGTATGAATGGCTGCTTGAATCGCTAAAGGTCAAAAGGAGACGTTTGACCTGGTTTTTCAAAGGTTGATCAATACATTATCAGATTTTAACTAAAAAATACGGATTTCTGCAAAACACGTAAAAGAACTATCCAATCAAATAACGTGTATCTATTATCAGTTTTTCTTCACTCATCTTAATATTGTAACAAAAATGTCATCCAGCACCAGAATTGTAACCCTAACACAAATATACCAAACAAACTAACACTTAAATCATTTGAATAGATTGTTCAATAATCATTTATAGCAATATGAGCTGCAACTTTGATGTCGGAAATTTTTGTTGCAAAATTATAATTTACTATTTCAATGACAGGGAAAAAGGACGTTTGTAAACATCTGTTGTTCATATTTGCGATGGAAGAAATACTTTTAAGCTTTGGTTGAAGCAGAATTACATTATTGTCGTCCCGTGCAAAATTGATTCCTGATATATTACCAGATATTCGATTGTACAGAAATCTTTCTTATCAAACAATTTAATACTTTATTTATGTCAAATTGATCAAAAAGGTTCAAATTACATGAAAATTTATCAAAACAGCACATTTTAACAGCAAAATTAGATTCTCAAAAATGAAGCTCATATTGCTTTAAAAATTCAAAAATGACGATTAACAATGTACAACTGGATTTTAAGAAAAGAATGTTAATTTTAATGGTTTATTGAAAATAATCCGGAAAGATCCGATCAATACAAATAATTTAAAAAATAACTTCCGACACATAAGAAATTTAATGACACAAAAATCATTGTTATAAAATCGTTACATTGTAATCTATATAGTTGCAAGGAAGTTAACATGCAATCTGAAAACGATAGAGGAAGGATGTACAAATATAAAACTATGCAAATTGAATGTGAAAAAAATGTAAATGCGCCAGTCTTACGGATGTGAAAGAGTGAGTTGTGGGGAGATGAAATATAGTACAGAATTTCCATCGATTTCCCCATTTCCTCCTATTCTTCATTTAAAATTTTATAATCGTCTTCACGTAGGGTATGATATCGAATGACATAAGCTGAGAATGGGGAGAAAAATGATGCATCCCCTTTCACGATTCAACATTAGGCAAGTTCAATAAATGACATAGAATATAATGTCGTTGAAAACAATGGTTTTTCCAATCAAATGTCAGTAGTTTCTAGACAATACCAACCTTTCAACATATTACTGTCATTTGATTCCAAGGCCACAGATATAGAATACCTTGGTTCAGAAAAGTCATTTGTCAGCTGTGGTTATGTTTCTAATTATCTGGTGAATTCTAATGGTACAGAAATTACAGGTAGGTTAGTAGTATAGCTGATTTACTTGAATATGGAACATGGTCTGATCTTTCTTTTTGAAATACTAAATTCTTTACCTGTACACTTTTCGTGCAGATATTCTCTTTAGAATACAATATTTTTGCTATATATGCAACAAAATAATCAAAATAGCCTTAATTTAAAGGGAATGTGCGTCACGACGCTAAGGTTGAAAACGCTTTATGTAAATATGTTGCATTTGTCAATCAAAATGTGCCACCTTCTTATATAAGGGAAGACTAAAAGTGCCAAAATAAAATTAATTCGAAGGTGCGTCATTCTAGAACGAACGAAATTTTAGTATGTACACAATATTTGCACTGACTTTGATTTGACACTAACAATGCTTTACGCTGATTGGGTAGAAAAGTGTTCCAATTCGTGTCCCTAAATTCAAGAATAAGGTTGCATGCCAATTGTTTTCTTTTTCATGCATTGGCAAAATAATTAATCTTATATTCTCATTTTTTATATCCATTGAAAAGTAACTAATCTAGCATTTACTCAGCATTAACTTATTTTGGAAAAGTAAAATGCAATAATTTTCTTTGAAAGTTTGATTTTAAAAAGTATTTATAGTAATATATGTACATGTAAATATTTAATTGATTTTAGACAAATTCGATCATTTTAAAATTTTCTGAGTTTTAAATTGTTTTTCAGATATTTGAAAAAAAACTTATTTAATTTTGGCATTTATAAGAAACTTATTTTTTTGGTCAATGAAGTCCATGTTATAAATTTTTATTACCGTAAACAGTTTTATTTGAGAATATTTCGAAAACCAGAAACGCTGATAAACAACATCGGGATGATCTGAAAAGGTTAATGACAAAACAGATAATCTTTCCTGTAATTTTGCAAACCTATAACATATTTAATTGTTTCGTATATTTCTATCTTTCAATATATATCTATTGTTCAGTATAGGCCTCTGTCTATTATTTCAAAAGAAAAAGATAAAAGCAAACTTATTAGATTCTCTGGTATCTGTTATTTTACATTGAATTAAACCGCAATTTAAATCATCAGTACATTTACCTGTTCATAGATAAGAATTCTGCAATATTCTGAAATATGCAGAAGTAGCATGCATCTTCATTAGGCACTCAGGAAATGTAAACTCAAACTGCAACCGGTGTTTTTAGCAACACGTGCGAATACATGTACATTTCCTACCTTGTGAGTCCTTTTTACATTGTGTACTTGTATCTTGAATGAGGCATACAAGAAAAAGAGAATGGTATATTCCTATGACACACTTATAACAGATAGATAAGAAAATAGATAAGGCATACATTCTATACAATGTCTGTCCTCTGGTATGTTCTTGTTTTTGAATTTGTTACGTGGATTACACTGACGACAGCATCAAACACTGGAGAAACTCGTCCATCCAAGTATGTACCAGACGAAGTGGTTCTGAAAGAGCTCGTGTACGAAATGAGCCAAACTTTGAAAACCCAAGCCTCTCGTCTGGGATTTTTAGAGAAGAGACTAGCAGCTTCGGAAAGAAGAGTCAATTTACTTCTTGGCGAAAGACAACACAGTAAAATACTCTTCCAGAAATTAACAAGGCGTTTGACGAAATTAGAAATCGAATGCAATCCTATCGAATCCAGTTTAACTTTACAAAGCGATGAAAACAGCACTGAAATCAGCCAGAGAAAAGGACAAAATGTTAAATCACGAAAAGGTAATTTCGCCCTATACATTGTAAAACATTTTACCATTGTTAAATTCACCATGTCAGCAGAAATTTGATTGCTTCTTTATTTCCGTTTTTAGAGCGCCTTCTTGTTCCTCCTTTATCAACATTCGCACCTTCGTCGATTGCTTTCCATGCATACATGTCAAAAACATTAGAAAATCCAGGAGCCAATCAAATACTGAAATTTGATATCGTCAAGACAAATACAGGAAATGGATATCATTCGGCTACTGGGGTATTCATTGCTCCTGAATCTGGACACTATGTTTTTTCATGGACAATAAGAGTAAGAAATGGCGCCTATCATTCTACGGAGCTAGTAGTAAACAATGATATTTATGATACCCTGTATATGCTTGCTAATTCACATGATGGTCATGTGACTGGAGTAACGGTGGCGGAAATCCACTCTGGAGATGATGTTTTTGTGCGTATAAAAGCTGGTTGTTCAAATCATGGTAACATTTGGAATGATTTTTGTGGTCATTCTTCATTTAAGGGGTGGAAAATCTTCTAATGCTCTATCATGAATGAGTGAGAAACATTTTCAAAAGATTTTTTTTCAATTGGTTATATTGGATTGAATTTTGATTCATTACGATTTATTTATTAAATCCTTTTGTAGAAATCTGTTACATTTATTAAGCTTGATTGTACAATTTAATTTACCGACTTTAATTTAGAGATCTCTGCATTCGTAGTCATGTTTTGTAACCTTTTTTCTATTACTGTATTATCTATTAACAATAATCATTTTCATTCATACATTTATTCAATATATCCCACTAACTCGAAATTAAAAAGAAAAACAAAGTCTGACACACGTGTTTTATACACTGCATATGAATGGTTTACAAAAGGAAGTCATTGAACTAACAACTAAACTTTATGATACACTTGATGATTTCAACTTTTTCTTATATTTATCTCATCACCTGCATATGTGCTATGTCTCCCAGTTGTTTCTATATGTCGTAGAAGCATGTTCTGCGTATGAACAATTTCTTAACCGAGACAGGCTACTGACAAATAAGTTGATAATACAACGGTATCAACGATCTCGTTTAATGTCAATATTTTCAAATTCTATGGTCGATACAATGGCCTTCTCTGCAAATACAGCTGTTGATAGGTCGACAGTTGTTGACTAATGTATTTAGTACATTAGTTTTGCCTTTTTTCATACTTAATTGTCTAAGGATTATCTCAATTATCTGACCAAGTCAAAAAGCTTAGGGCAGATGTGACCGGTCAACAGAGCCGCTTACTCCTCAACAACACCTGATCCCAGCTCTGAAGTTTATTTGCATTGTTAAACTGGACTTTTAAGCATGATTACTTTTTGTTATCTTCACTTTTCATGGAATCCTGAACTCTTTTGCCAGTATGTGTGATGATCTAACTTTCATTGTCTTTGATTAGTTTGGGCACGAATAGATTGTGACATGTTGAATATAACACTTAACTTTTTATAATTCTCGACGTATGTGGTAAAAAAAAAACCACGGACAAAGTTATCCGACTCACAGAATTTTGCAAAATATGTTATTGAAAACAATCTTTTAATAGTCAATAAAAACACTCCAAAAGTTGAAATATTTCCTGCGACATTCTACAACAGAAACTACTCTAATTTCGTGTAAAGCAATAAATTTCGTCATCAATTCTTGTTTTCTCACTGATCGAATGGATTTGTATTGCAATATGTACGATTAAAATTCTACGTTTTACTTACATGTGAACCAGTATTTTTTGTCATTACAGAGATACAGAACAGATTTTTAAAAGAAAAGTAATCAGTCGTCGGAAAGTTTCCTAAGTAACTTTGTCGAAAAACAAACTTCATTCCATTTTGATTTATAGTGTTACTTCCTCAATGTGTCAAGAACCCTGTCGATGGCAGACGTAAAACGTACATTAATTATTCTGATCGT